CCCCCCCCCCCCCCCCCCTCCCTCCCCCCCCCCCCTTAAGACCCCCTTAAGGGGGTGACCCTTAAGCCCCCCCTTGAAGCCCCCCTTAAGCCCCCCTTGAAGCCCCCCTTAAGCCCCCCTTCGCCCGAAGGTCTGGGGCCCAGCCCCGCAAAGACTGGACTACCTTGTGCATTTTCACACAAACTTTGAAACTCGCAACCTCCTACACTTCCGACTGCTTCTGCGACCTCGTCTCCATCGCATGGGACTTTACCCATCATGTTTCTCAGTGGGCACAGCTTCCGCCGCCCAAAGTTGAATGTTCAGAGTCCGGAGTCTCGTTCGAGCCTCTTCTTCGTTCTTTGTTTGCGAGGGCAGGGTCTCCAAGCCCGAGATCGCAACTTTTTGCAACAGCCACGGGCTCATTTGAGACATTGAATCACGTGGAGATAGTGCTCTGTCTGACGCACAATATACGGCGTCTGAACACTGGCGCTCCAGCCGCTTTCGGCAATATCAAGCGACGAGACCTCTGAATTGCACCGCGTGGCCTCCGACTGCGGTGGGGCACCTCTGTCATGAAGAACCGCACCCTGAAACCTCAAACCCGAAGGTTTGAGCAAAGGGAAGACTCCATGAATGAGGATGAGCACAATCGATCACTTTGACCACCTCATTTTTTGCCCAACTTAAGGCACGCAGCCGGGTCATGATGCGGGACTGGTTTGTTTCTGCATGTGTTGACAGTGTCAGTGCGCGTGTCACATGAATTGAACATGAGCCTTCTGCCAAGTGCTGAGACAACGAAGACCCTGGCGTCGTAGCTCGGACCGGCAACAGATCTCGCGGTTCCGGGAAAAACATCTTGGTGTCGGTGTTGGTCCAAAGGTTGAGTAGGCCCAGTGGCTGTGACTTCGGTGCACTTCTCGTCAAGGGCACCACTGCCAACGCGAGCATCCCACCGGCTCCCCACAGCATATTTGTTCTGACTGATGTCATGAGGCCGACCAAGGCAAGAATTAATGCATCTCCCTTTGCTGTGATGTGGCAATGTTCAGCGTGCGCCCCTCACCCCCAGATGAGATCATCCAAGGAGTGTGAAGAAAGATATAGCACTGACATAGAGTCTCGCACCTCGAAAACTGATAGCGTGTTAACCTTATCAAACATGCGCTGGTTGAGTATTGACAATCAAAGAACAATTGTTCAACCGACTTCTGAAATGGGCGTTCCCAAACATCACTCGTCTTGCGCCGGTACGGACGACTGACGAAGTCTTCGGTGGCTCTCAGGACGGTGAATTCCACTACGAAGCCCTTGTTGACAACCGATGAAAGGCTCCGATCCACGCACTGATCCAGTGCCGGCCTGCGAGAGTTCAAGGCTGTGAGACACATGTCCGGAAAAGACCACACAGATCGAGCTTGTGAAACCGTTGGGAAAATCTGCTGAGCCGTGCCAGGCTGCCGTATGAGTGACGAAGATTGCTGCACTAAGTTCTGGCCAGAGCTTCACGAAGGCGATTGCTTGGACGGTCCCCTGAGTTGAAACCTTCAGGGGAACACGACGTGGAGAGCTTAAGGCAGCGTGCAGTCTTTGGGCCTTTGGCACAGTGGTAAATTCCTCTCCAGTTGGAGGACTTGTGCTGGATGGGTGCGCCGTGTTGTTCAGGCCTGGGGACTGTCGGCTGTTCGCCTCCAGCCCCTTCCACAACAGACGATCGCAGGGTGGGGGGACAGATGTGCCGGCGGAACCTGGCTCCAGTGTTGGCTTTTGCAATCGCCGTGGTCAGGTCGCCGAGATGGCAGGGAGAGAGCGCGAGGAAATCGAGCCTGCTTCTCAGAGACATTTGATTGCTGGAGTCCACCTTGCTGCTTGACCCATCGAGCTGAGTAAATACGGAAAGGATGCTGACAGAGAAGAGCCAGGCATCTGTGGGAGCCCTGGTGATTTGTCTACTTTTTCTCAGAACCGCTTCCCGCGTCCGGCGCGGACTTTACTGCTCGGCCGCAGCCTAACCGGAACAACGATAGCTTTCAGCTCTCTAAACTGTTTTAGGATCTGGAGGCTAAGGCCTATGTAAGGAGGAGCCACGGAAAGAGGTCGCACGCACCGGAAGTCAAACTTATATCGGTAGCTGCCTGCAATTCGGGCTGTAGTTGCAGCAGTGTAGCTGGCCTAGCCTAATATTCCGTGACTTTCGTACCCGCGTCGCTCCGCGTGGCTCTGGCTCAAGCTCTCCGAGCCGTTCCGTTCTATACGCCCCTGGTCGCACCTGGTCTCCTCTGCTTGTTGGTAACAGCATGAAGGGGAAGGTGGTTGTGGCCTTGTTCGGGAATCCCGGCGTGGGGAAGAGCACGCTCCTGTCTTCCTTATCCGGACAGCATTTTGCTTCCGGTGTCAACTTCGTGGGCGGCCTTACCAAGGAGCTGCAAGTACAAACAGCACCACACTTGCCGATGGTTGAGTTCGTCGACACGCCGGGCTTGGCCGATGTCCACGGGCCGCAGATGGCAGCCCAGGCCATCAACCAGTTCCTGAATCAAGCGGCTCAGCAGGACTACAGAGTGAAGATCTTCTTCGTGATGACCTTGCAGGCTGGCCGCATGAAGCCCGAAGACTTATACACTATCAAGCAGGTCATGTCATGCATCGTTCTTCCAGGTGGCAACAAGCCTGGGCCCAACAGCTACGGCGTCATCATCAATATGTGCAAATTCACAGAGGACAGATCGTTCGCAGAGTTGCAAAAGCTTGTGCAGTTGCAGCTGGGTGTGGCGAGCAAGGCTGTGCCCTTCACAACCACATACATCGAGTATGTCCCATACGTTCCGGATGCAGATGGTGCTAAGAACGCGACGGTGCCCTGCGCTGACCTGCTGCAACGGCTGATCGTCTTCCCGGGCATTTTCGTTCAGTCTGCCTCGCCCATCGATGTGAGGGACTGGGAGCAGAGGCTGGAGGACCTCAGAAAGGAGCTGGGGCGTGAAACAGAACAGAAGATCAAGGAAATGGAGAAGAAGCATTCCACCGAGAAAGAAGAGCTTCTGCGCAACATCGATAACATGAATGCCCAGCTGGCCGCGTCAGTGCACGAGCCCTGGTACAACAAGCTCATCGATGGTACCGCAACCGTCATCAGCTCCGTCGTCCCAGCCATGATAACGAATTGGTGGAGATAATTAGTTGTAGAAGCAATTGCTATGCAGGGCGCCTGCGTCAGGGTTTCCAAGGCCAAGGGGCCCTTGTGGCTGAGGCATCTCAGAAAACGTGCAGCATAAATCCTGCTTTGCACTTTGTTGCAGCGGTCCCAGCCTATCGCATTTTTGCCGTGCCAGGCAGGGGTCGCGAAGCTACGGAGCGGAGCAGCCTCTGTGTGTTTGTGTGTGAGTCTTGTAGCTTGCATCTTCGACAGCACGGCTCAACGGAGTGACGGCAAGCCGGCCGTGGCCATGGATCCTTGCTGTGACGATGTCTGTGACGTCGTTTTCGTCGGGAATCCCGGCGTGGGCAAGAGCACCCTGCTCTCGGCCGTGTCAGGCCGGCACTTCGAAAGTGGCCTCAGCTGGGTCAATGGCTTGACGAAGAAGCTTTGCTTCCAAAGATCTCCGGCGCTGCCTGGCGTAAGGTTTGGTGATACCCCAGGCTTGGCGGATGTCTCCTTGGCAGAGATGGCTGCGCAGGCCATCAACGAAGCCTTCAGTGATGCCGCCCGGCATGGCAGGAACGTGAAGCTCATCTTTGTGATCACGACCGAGAGTGGACGCTTGCGCCCCGAAGACCTCTTCACCATCAAGCAGGTCATGCAGTCCATTGAGCTACCTGGCGGATCCAGGCCGGGGCCCAACAGCTACGGCTTGCTGATCAACAAGTGCAACTGGCTAGAGGCACCGATTGCTGATGAAGGGAAACAGCTGATCAATGCGACGTTTCAAGTGCCGAAGCAGTCGGTGCCTTTCGTGACGGGGTACACGCAGTATGTGCCATTTATCCCAGAAGCCGCTGGCGCTGATCAGCTGGTGCACTTTCCGGGGCTCATTGAGTGGGTCTTCAGTTTCCCGGGCATCACCATCTCCAGGGCAACTCTGATCGACACCCGCGGCTTAGAGGAGAAAATGAAGCAGATGAGGCAACAGGCTGCTAGAGACGAGGAGGCATTGGTAGCCCGCCTGCAGCGCAAACATGAGCAGGAGCTTGGAGAACTCAAGGCACAGATGGACTCCACCGTGGCGGACATGGAGCGCAAGCTGCGCGAAGCGCAGAACCGCGGCTTTTGGAAATCTTTGGGCAAGCTGGTGCTCAGCGTAGCGAGCATCGCTTTGTTTCGTGTGCCTTTACCTCCCTAGCGGTGTGAAGAGGGCGCCCACAAGCTGGCTGCCATGCCGGACAATGTTGTGCGAAGGTTTCGTTCGACATGCGAAGGCTTATGAAACAAAGATGTGGCAGCTCATCGTCGACTCTTCTGCGGGGCCCAGTACTGTAGCCCAACACTTGCCCAGGAAGTGCCATTTGAGAATGCTAGCGGGGACAGCCAGGTCGCCCCGAATGATTCCTGCACAAGTTTTGACGGTTTCCTGAGATCAAGTTCGTCTTTGAGCCATTTTGAGCTATCGAGCCCGCTAGGCAAGCTCCTCGATAGCAGTAGCACCGAAGGATGGATTCTTGCATCGTCGTTGGCATTCCCGGTTCTGGCAAGAGCACCAGCATCAATGCGCTTGCGGGGCGGCTTCTTTTCGACGCAGGTCTGTCCATGGTCCGTGGTCGCACTGTCCACGCGCGACGTCAGAGCATCCACGTTGGCAACGACATGGTGGACCTGTACGATACCCCTGGCTTGTCCGACTTCGTGCAGAGGCGACATGCAGCAGCTGAGATCCGCAGTGCCTTCCAATCGGTCAAGAACCATGGTGGAGTCTTCTCCTTGATTTTCTTCGTCACCTTGGAGGGAGGCCGCGTCCGTCCAGAGGACATGGACACTTTGTTGAGCATCAAGAACTCCGTGCTGGTGGACGGTCCCCTGAGTTATTCCATCGTCTTCAACAAGGTAGAGTCTAGATTGCTGTCGATGTTGGATGATACGGTTCCTGGAGGGTCCTGCACAAATCGTGAGCATCTGCTGAACAAGATTCGGCAGCTCTTGGATGACCGATCTTCGTTCATCAACTTGGATTTCCTCCCATTCTGCTTGGACTTACACGGCAAAGACAATGTTCTCCCGAGCGATCTTTGCGTTTTCCAGGAGGTCATGACGCGGGCCGTACGTGCAGGTCGCAATCGTCTTCTGCGTGTTGGAGACGTGGTCTCTGCCGAAGAGTCCATTGGAGTCCAGGCGTCCTTGCAGCGCGCAGAAACAACGGCTGATCTCGAACGTGCGCACGCTCGCCGCTTGCAGCAGGAAGAGCGTGCGTATAAACAGACGATTCGTGACTATGAGAGGCGCATCAGCAATGAGAGCAGCTGTGGAGGAGGCTGCACCGTCCACTGACAGTCATCAAGGTGATTGCCGACATGTTGTTAGTCACACAAAGACACCAAAAGCGTGTCGAAGGAGAGGAAGTAGGACGTCAACCCTGACGTCGCGTCCGCAGGCTTCTGGCGGGAAGTTTTGTGCAGTTACTTCGTGGAAGATGCTGGTAGCAAAACTGGACTCGCAAGTGGAACATCAAGCCTCGACCATCCTCCATTCCACGGCGGGGCCGTCTTGCAATGACTGCCCAGGTAACTCCCGCCCCAGACCTGAAGCGACAGGTCGATTTCGGCCCGGCTCCCAAGCTCTCACCGTTGAGAGCCTTCAGCGTGTCAGGGCTTCGGGTTTAGCATTTTTTGAAGTTTTTGGGCGGGAGACGCCCAGGCGTGTAAATGTGATTTGACTGAGCGCTTCTTGGTTCCTGAAATGACTGCTGTGTCCGAGGTGCATGCCGTGGCCACACCAGTCTGAGTCTGAGCCTGCTCGACGGTGTTGATCCATAGCCCGTGCAGCCATCCACGCCCTGCAAACTGCCTCTGGCTGATGCTGGTCGCCCGCCCATGCTTACTTGCCCGCAGATGCTCATTCTCCCGCCCTTTGCCCGACGACTGCCTGTCCACTGCGATGCCATGAGAGCCGTGAGACGACCGCACGACAAGTCAAAAACCGATGGCCAAAGATCTTTCAGTCGTTTTCATGCATCAGAGCTCTGGTTCAATTGCGTGTGTTGCTGTTGCTGCATCGGTGGTTGCTCAAGTGGTCTCTCGCAGGGAGTACCAATTCTGCTAATTTTAAGCGCTTCGCGTCGTCCCTCGGCCCGGCCGCAGACAAAGAAGGCCAACAAACTGCTGGTGCTGAAGGCGCCGTTGGCGGAGCGGATGAGGGGAAGGGGAGGCGATTGCGTTCGGCGGCGCATCAACCAAATCCATTGGAGGAGGCGAGATTTCACCGCAGGAGGGC